CTCTAAAAGCATATTCCTTTTACCGGCGTAATTTTTTAATTAAAGGAGGAGAGGAACAATCTAACCATACGTATAAATTTTACCATGAGCAGCATGTACCACAGCAAAACGAAAGTTATTCAGTCAGGGTAACATAAAAGACTGATTGTTCATTATCTACAAAGCGTGAGTAATCTATTTGATCTGATGTATCTCTAAGCCAGGCGAGGTTTTAGGACAGAAGTCGGCGCCGACGAAGCCGATAGTCACGATTCTGGGTGAGGAATCGGTGATTGTTTTTATTGTAAGTCATGAAAGATGGTTTGAATATCGCATGATCAGGAGTGTCAATAGGGAAACAACAACGCACGGGTTCGGGTCATTCATCAAACACAGATCGAAGTAAGCCTGAAGTCCGGTAGGGAAGGTAACAACGTTCTTCAACCCAAGTGTAGTCAATAAAGTGATATCAAGCTTATTGAGGTCCCCACACACGATATAATTCAAGTCAAACTAAATCTCATGTATCCGAATAGTGAATTTTCAGATATTTTCACGCGAATACAGTGGGAGTGGGGAAAAACATGAAAGAGCGTGAGGAGGGTAAACAAAAGCGACGGCGCACTGTGAGCAAGAAGACAATAGTGACTGTTTAAAAATGAATTAATAAACTAACTCATGAAATGTTCTACCAGACCCTTAATAACTAATGTCCGTTTCATTAAAAAGTGGGCAATAAAATGGAAGATGCTGTTCCTGTATGTGACGTAGCGTCCCGGAGAGGAGTTTATAATGGGAGCTGGTACGAGTGTTTGAAGCGGAATTAAGAAGTTCTTTTTGCAAACAGTAATCTTCGTTGTTCAAGATTCTATCAGTTATTCTTTCCCTTGCGTCACATGCTTGCACACAATAAAAGGTACGAGGACCTCTCCAGCTATACCGCCATATCGGGAAAGGAGTTTTATGAATTCGGAAAGTAACATGAAACCTTTTTCTTACAGGCCGAAAAAATATACGGGGGAACAGTACAGTCAATGAGGAAGGATGCATGTGACCACAAGTTTGTAAATTCCATTTTGGGGACCAGCAAGCTTCCTAAGCCTGAAAGCATAAAACGAAAGCTTCTGAACCCTATTGTAAACATTCTCTACATGTCTAGTCCAGCAGGCCTTGTGAGATAGACCCACTTCGAGGTATTTAGCAGAGTCAGCTTTGAGGATGTATGACTGCAAACGACGAGGTCAGGCAAATAATTAAAAGTAGTTTGATAATGGGAGCCAGATACAAGGTGTACACGATTTAGCAAAGCTATGGAAAAAATATTTGTGAACTCACCTCAATGATCAGTGGGACAGGAAGGGGGAATATAAATGTTACCAAAAATAATGGTCCGGAAATTACTGAGGTACATAGGTCTGCACTAGAGTCCAGGAGTGCTGATAAAAATGGAGGAACACAAGATCTTTTGCCTTAATTGCACCGACGATTGTGAAACGGAACAGGTTAATAACCTCGGTAGTTAGGAAAATTGTCCATTCTACAACGTTATCAACAATTTCATCATGGAGCCAGTTTTCATGTGACATTATGACACCGACTTGCCAGTACACTCGTCTGTTTATCAGAACTTTTACTGTCTTCTAACGTATTATCAAGTAGGGAGCGCGAATTTCCATTGATGACTACTACTCGAATGCAGATGCCCGAGATGGATCGCTCTTAGCATCTTCCAAGTGTAAAGTGATGCCACAGAACTGCATTTGCGCTACGCCTTACGATCAGGAATCAGTTACCCTAGATTACTTCTCCTACATAGGCAGTTGTCTGGTGATAGACAGCAGCGCAGTCACGCAGATAACCACACATTTCCACAGCTAGAGCGGCTTACACAGGAATGAAATACCTTTGGCCTAGGCGTGATTTTTCACTGAAGTTGAAAAATTGTGTATTTTGGGTTACCGTTGGTTCAGTTCTACATTTTGGTTGTAAGACCTTGTATTTGCTACTAGAAGACAGTCAGTCAACGGAGGTTTGTGACTATCAACGCTTATGTAGTTCCGCGCAGGCTGAACGGAGTAAACAAGTGAGTAATGCTGTCGAGTATTTGGGAATGCTTCGGTACAGACCCACTCCCTGTCCACTTTACATATTCTCACCAACTTCTTTTTGCTTTGTGGAGTTAACACCAATTAGCGAAGTTCGCTCTACGGTATTTCGCTGTAAGATAATGATGGTGTTTCGGAAAGCTATTCACGTCTAAATGGACCATATGTTTCCTCTCGTGTTCAGATCCAGACTACATTTGCATCACAGTATATTTTAGGTACCGCCAAAGATTGACCAGAATTTTGTTAAACTAGGGTTGTCCAATATCGCATTGTCTTGCTGAAAAAAAGTTTTTTACTTTGGTTATCTCCTGAGAGAGGGGATGAGCCAGTTTTATTAAGAGTTCATGCGTGTCGTAGGACTTTGACATCGGTGCCGTCCCTAAGATTGTTTGGCTTTTATTTTGAAAATGAACCTCCAACCCTTACGCAATCGAATGTATGAAATAAGACTGCAAATTTTTTCTTAATACTGCACTTGGACTCAAACCTTCCCACCCGTTGAATCAAGTGTATGCTTTTTTGCCCATTTTTCCGGGACTGCTTCACATTTATGGGTTAAACTGCGACTCATAGTACTCCGGGGAACCAGCTTATCTTCACTTGTTTAGACCGTAGTGCCAAGCGGTTATTGGGGTGTGCCTATTGTAGAATTCGTGGAGCTACAAATGTGAGTCGTCCGATTGGTGTGGATCGAAAGAAATGAATTGTTATGTAAGGGAATGGAAGGTTCCTGAGACTCAGGCGTTACCAACGACGGAAACCACAATACCCCTGCCGACAAACAGCTTTGAAACCAAACACCAATTAACGTCAGTTCCG